CATCCATCTATATCCATCCATCCATCATGTATATCCATCCATCTATCTATATTTATCCATCTGTCATCTGTATATTTCTCCATCCACCCATCTATCAATGTATCTATAATGTATCAATCTAATCTATCTACAGACACATACACATTCGACCTAGATTGTGAGGTTTCTCTGTGTCAGATATGTGGGTATATGTATAATGGTTATCCTTTGAGAGCTGAATGCAATGAAATTTCATTTTGATTAGTGTACATTTAAAGTGACAATAAAAACTCTATTCTGTTCTCTATATTCTGTTCTCTATTCTATTTTCTGTTCTATTCTATTTTCTATTCTATTCTCTATTCTATCCTATCTCTATCCCTCGACTTACAACAGTTCATTTAGTGACCGTTCAAAGTTACAACGGCACTGAAATAAGTGACATGACCGTTTTTCACAGCTGCAACCTTTGCAGCATTCCCCATGGTCACGTGATCAAAATTCGGACACTTGGCAACTGGTTCATATTTGTGACGGTGGCAGCGTCCCAGGGTCACGTGATCTCCTTTTGCGACCTTCTGACAAGCCAAATCAATGGGGAAACCAGATTCACTTACCAACCACGTTATTCTTATCAATCGCAGTGATTCACTTAACTGTGGCAAGAAATGTCAAAATGGGACAAAACTCAATAAATTCTCACTTAACAACATAAATGTTGGGCTCAATTGTGGTCATAAGTCTACCTATATTCTCTTTTCTATTTCTTTATTCTATTCTGTTCCATTTTATTATATTCTGTTCTATTCTCTATTTCTCTTTTATTCATTTTTCTTTGAAGGCGTTTCACTTCTCATCCAAGAAGCTTCTTCAGCTCGGACTGGATGGTGGGGAAGGGAAGGATTTATACTTCTTGCAGACGGCTGGTCATTTGCATCCTTTTAGAGAGTCCCTGAAGCTACTTGGTTACTCCGTCCTCAGGGTCACCTGAGTGGTGGAAAGTGGGTGTGGAGCCTTCTTGGAGCTGCTGAAAGGACTGTGTTGTGGAGCTTTGCTTTCTGCAGGACGTTTCCGCCCTCTGTCTCTTCACTGTTGAACATAGGTGCAGGCTCTGGGGATGAGTCTGTGTTGTCCAAGAAGGCTCCATGCCCATTTTCCCCTTTAAGGTGACCCTAAGGACATAGAAAAACCTCCAAGTGGCCTCAACGACCCACTAAAAGGATGCAAATGACCAACTCTCTTGCAAGGAATACAAATCCTTCCATTCCCCACCATCCAGTCAGAACTGATGGAGCTTCTTGGATGAGAAGCGAAACGATTTCAAAGAAAAAGCACAAAGACCAGTTGCCTCTTGAAAAAGCACCTTTGGGTCGCCTGGCTGGTGTTGAGTATTTGGGCTTTACAGACCCACAAGAACACTGTGTGTGTGTGTGTGTGTGTGTGTGTGTGTGTGTGTGTGTGTGACATAGTTTCTCTTGGTTCTTGAATGAGGCCAAGCTTTGAGATCGTGCAAGACTCACGAGTGTGGAGAGGGAGACCGGTTTCACATGATGTGCATTACACACCAAGGCAGGTGTTGGGCTTTCCTTGGTCTGGTTACATGATGGGCTGAATACTTCGTCAGGTTTGGGGAGTTGTTCCCGTTAATTTTGGGGTCCTGGGTGCCGTCTGGGATTAATGGTTTACGTGCAGATGTTTCATTACCCAACTAGGTAACATCATCAGGGCTAGAAGGGAGATGGGTTTACAGAGAGGAGGAGGACGAAGAGGAGAAGAAAGAAGGCAATAGAGAAAGGAGAAAGAGGAGGAGAAGGAGCAGGGCTGTGGGATTCTTGGTGCTCTCGGGAGTTTGGTCGTTTTCGTGCAGATGTTTTATTACCCAACTAAGTAACATCCTCAGGGCTAGAAGGGTTTCTGGAGAAGGGGGAGGGGAAGGAATATAGGATCCTTGGTGCTCTCTGAGCTTGATTGTTTTCTTGCAGACATTTCATGACCCAACTAGGTAACATCATCAGTGTTAGAAGGGAGTGGGGTTTGACCTCTCTTTATACAGATGTGGCTTACTCTTTCAGTGTTGATGGGAGTGTTTTTAGTAGTTCCTTGATTAGGCTATTTGACTATTTGTGTGAGTTGGGTGTTCCTTGATTGGCGCTGTTTGATTGTTGGTCTGGTATTAATTCTGGCGTTAATCTCTGCTTATCTGGTTGTTGATTGCTGGTAATAGAGGCATGTTGGTCTTTTTAGTTCCTTTTTAGCCTTTGTTCATCTGTTTTGAATGGTGTGAAGATGTTGCTTATCTCTAGATCCCTGTCAATGGCTGATTTTGTTTGCCACCCGATTTGGTTGTGAACAGACGCATTCGCGACCCAAGGTTCCTATGTACGTGTGTGTATACATATGTGTGTGTGTGTGTGTGTGTGTGTGTGTGTATGAATGACAATATATTTATAAATCTGGCATATATCAAAAAAACAGAAGCACAGCTTTTTACTACTGTGCTTCCTGGAAAGCATAAACGGTGCTTCGTAGCATTATTTTCCACAAGGAGAAGCAAGCTTACACAGCCCTTAGAAAGTGAAGTTAATCACAAATACTGTGCATGTAAACAGGGCGCGAAATGAGTGGATCAGAATTAATAGAACTTGAAATTAACTCTCTTCTGATATCATTTTCTGTTTTGGAGCCATTTGTTTACCTATTATCTGAGACTCAACCACTTGCTGCAATTTGCTTTCAAGTAAACATGTTTTTGTTGTTGTCTAGGTCTTGTTCATGTTAGAATGTTGTTATTATGTTCTGAGTCAACCTTGATTTTTTTTCCCCCTTGGTGAATTTTTTTTTTAAGAAGTTGATTCCCATTGCATTCTTCCTAGGGCTGAGAAGGACAGGCTGGCCGAAACCTCTCAATCTAGGGCAGGACTATAACTCAGGATCTCTCAGTGCTATTAAAAAAATTGCTCTAATTGTAAATACCAAAACAAAGTTCTAATATCTCAGGTTGTAAATGCATTTGCAAATCATACCTATTCCCTTTACTATAGCAATTCTGAAAATAACCCTTTTTATTTTAAAGTATAAATTCTATGTGATGTTTAATATAACTTTTTTTTTTTTGTTGCAGCTGGAATAATTTCCCTTCTGGATGAGGAAGAGCCAGAACTCAAGGTGAGCGTGGAGGCTGTCTGTCTTGACTTCAGAATAAAAGTATTCCGGGATCTGAATGCTGACAAAACAATATTTTTAAAATGATTGTTTCGAGTGTTATATTTTTACCGACTCAAGAGCTTGAAATTGCTGTCTTCAAGACTGTGCACAGGTAGTCCTCGACGTACGACCACAATGGAGGCCCAAATTTTGGTTGCTAAAAGGGAGAAATTTGTTAAGGTAGTTTAGTCCCGTTTTACGACTTTTCTCCCCACAGTTGTGAAGTGAATCACTGCAGTTGTTAAAACTACTAGCACGGTCATTAAGTGAATCTGACCTCCCCATTGATTTGGCTTGTCAGAAGGTCATAAAAAGGGGATCGATCCCATGACCCCGGGACATGGCAACCGTCATAAATACGAGACAGTTTCCAAGTGTCTTTGATCACAAGACTGTGGGGGATTGCGATGACCTGGAGTGTATCAAAAATATAACTAAAACCAAAATGTAAACAAAGGTCCTTTAATGCCTTCAACTTGGCTTCACTGTTTAATTGTTCACAGTTGAAGATTAAACTATTTTCAAAATCACATTCCAAACAAAAGAAAAACAGTTCAAATTCAAAGAGCAGATAAAACGAAGCAAAAACCAAAAGCAAACCGCACTGAAGAAAGTTCCACGATAGACCAGAATAAATAATTACAAACTTCAGGAAGATAACCAGGTACAGTCCGTTGGAAGAACGCCAACCAAGATAAACCCCATCATTTGTCTCCAGCGTTGGTTAGCACGCAGGTCCAAACTCTTAGGCAGATCTCACACCTGCAACCCATGAAGAGGATCATGGCCGTTTCCTCCTGAATAGACCACGTTTTCCCCTGATCCTCTCCTCCCTGCGTGCCCTAGGATGGATAGGGGATGGGCCTGAGTCCTCCTCTGCTCAGCCAGCCTGTGCCCTTCCTCAGCCTCCTCCACCACCTCTGGAGCCACCCTTCCACTCTCTGTTGGCTGTTCCTCCTCTTCCTCGGAGTCAGTCTCCACCAGGGGCATGACAGGGATCCTGCAATGGTCGTAAGTGTGAAAAACGATCATAACTCACTTTTTTCAGGGCCGTTGCAACTTCGAACGGTCACTAAACAAACTCTTGTAAGTCGAGGTGTTACCTGTATTATTAAGAAATTTGAGAGGGGTTATTTTGTCCACCCTCTTTGGAAAGCACAAGGCTGCCTAACGAAATGCAGTCCATGCCACGGTTGGTCTTGCTCTTTTGCCCTTCCAGCTACTTGCTAGACATGTGTGTTGGTTGAAGTCTAAATTAAAGTCTAAATGCAGTGGTTTTCGTTCTTTTCACAGGAATTTGCTCTCCACAAACTCAACGCAGTTGTCAATGATTTCTGGGCTGAGATCTCTGAATCGGTGGATAAAATGTAAGAGGGAAGACCTCAAATTCATTTGAAAGCATGAGCTAAAACGGGTTGGCAACCTTTTGGACCTCAGGGACCACCAAACTCATCATTTTAAATCCCGCGGAACAGAGACCCTGGGAAAAAAAACCCCAAAAGTCTGCAGGAAAATTCCCCCACACCGTTTTCCTACC